AACAAAATCCCACCTTCCAGAAACAAGGAAATATATCTGAAAAAATATATATACTTAATGTGCTCATGGATCCATACATTGTCATACGTAATTAGTCAGATTCAGAGTACAACCATAATGCATACACTTGTTTTAGCTTTTTTGAGAAGGAGGTACTTGCACATGCCCCATGGTCAAACATTTAAAGGTAACATACAAAAAGAACCTGATATCTGCTGCTTTCAGTCACTTCTCACCTTTATTTACACATTGCAATAATTTACTCATTCATCAGAAGAGCCCCAGACAGTTTATCTCCCTAAGTGCCCAAAGTCTTGATGGCTTGGTGACTTCTACACTTTGCCACTGACACTAGTTAACCAATAAATATTTTGAAAGGAGAGAAAAAGGTCCCTTAAAGTTCTTATCCCAATGTTTTCCTTCAGCTATAAACATCCACTGAAATCTTTATGGCTTACTAAATCAAGTTCAGATCATTGAAAGGGATAAGAGATATCCTAGGCTGTTCCAGCCACACTCCATTAGTTTGGTATTATTATCTTTAATATTTTCAATGTAGTTGAACTACATTAAAGTGATTTCAGGAGAATGGGGGAGAAACAATTATAATCACATCATAATTGACATTCATTCTGTCATTCTTCAGGGGTTTTATGGAAGCCTGAATTTATTCAACTTGGCATTCAAAAGGCCACAACAGGCAGCACTGATTTTGAATTAAAACAGTCATGAGTTCTTCATTTCATGAAAAGGAATTAAATCTCAAGATTTCAATGAAAATAATTTTGTTAAGTTTCAGCCCATTTCATTGCACTTCCTTTCTTTCCAGTCCATTATTTTCACTTTTTTCCCCATTAATTTTTTTCACTTAATTTCAGAATTTTATTTTTTTTCAATTTCATTTCATGTCATTATATTTCCTTTCCTGACATTTCATTTCACTTCATTCCTTGATTTCTCCTTTAATTTCTTTTCCTGAAATGAAAATCCTTAATTTCATGAAAGGAAATGAAATCACAAGATTTCAAGCAATACAATTTAATGAAGTTTTGACTCATTTCACTGCACTTCATCTCATTGTATACCATTTATTTGTTTTCACTTAATTTCAGAATTTTATTTTTTTTTCACACAAATCTTTTAACAAGCTTGGGGCTGCAGCTGAGGTGTCCATCCCCATGCATGGCCCTAAGCTGAAAGGTGTTGAGGCAGAAATGTTATGGCTCTGCCATGATCCTCTTGGCACGTGTTTTCCAGCTCCAGTGTTCCTGGAGCTAGAGGCTCTTTTCCTCTCTCAACTCATCTAAGCCTGATAGCACCTGGTCTCTGGAGCTGAAATGCTCATCACCATAGGTGGTCCAGATTAGAAAGATGTAGGAGCAGCAATGGTGGGGCTGTGCTGGAACAGACTTGTCAGGACTTCTCCAGCCCTAGTGTTCCTGAAGCTGTAGGCTCCTTTATTTGCTCAACCCTTACCCTAACCGCAGCCCTAACCCTAATGACAGCTTGGTGCTGTGGCAGATGTCATAATCTCCATAGGTAGCACAGCCTAAAAAGTGCTGAGTCAGCAATGTTGCCAACCTACCCTGATGCCCTTGCACTGCCTTTTTGAGTGTCAGTGTCCCAGGAGCTGTAGGCTCTGCAGCTCTAAACCCTAACCTGAAACTAGCTTGTCTGCTGCCAAGGCCCATAGGCCATGGCTGGCCAGGATTCAAAAAGTGAGAAATCTTGGTATCCTTCCATGATGAAAATCCTCAATTTCATGAAAAGAAATTAAATCCAGAGATTGCAATGACAAATCATTTTGTGAAGTTTCAGCTCATTCCTGTCATTCCAATTCCATTTAATTGTTTTCATTTCCTTTAGGAATTTTAGGGTTTTGCAATTTCATCTCATGTCATTATATTTCATTTAATTTCATTTCTGTCTTTACATGTACTGCCGGACTCTCTTTTCTTACTCATCTATTGTTTTGGATTATCATCTCACAGATGGTTTTGTACTTAAATTTACTAGCATAAATAAAATATTCTGCATATGCATGAGTATCTATAGTACAATCACTTTTGCTCTATTGAGAAGAACATTTATTGGAAAAAAGAAAAAAGGAATTGTGAAAATCAGCAGTATTTTTTGTCTGCTGCAGAGCTGGGTTATGTTTGGTGTATGCTAAAGTGTTCATGCTATCAAGAGATTTGGCTGTATTTCCAAAACACACACCATCTAGCCATGTGCCATATGAGACAGAATGAACTATCCTAGCCTTTAATTTTCTGTATCATAGCATTACTTTTCTACCAAATATCAGCATCCTGCTGAATATCAGGAATGCATCAAATCTCTAAAAGGAAGCCATAAGAGCTTTTTATGCTGCAAAGTTAAAAATGCTACACATCTTGATCTGCAAACAAAAATCTGACATTGTTTGTGGTTAGCTTTGTACAACTTCAATGTGATTGCTCTGATGCCAGCACCCCAGTGATGACAACGGTGATAGTGCTGAAACTGACTCCTCAAAAGGCGACTGTAGCTTAGTGCTCAACACATCTCCGGACTCCCAGGTTTATTTCCTTCTACTTCCTAAAATCTGCAATGAGTCACAGTTAGGATCAGTACTTGTAATTCAAGCTGCAGTGGTAGGTTGTGAACAAAATGTAACAGGGAGCTCTAGAACTGAGAGGCAAATTAGGGCATGGAGGAGGATGCTCTGTTCCTGTTCAAGAAGAAAAGGGAAACAAGGGAAACCACAAAATTCTGCATTGAAAAAGTAGGGAATGAGATCGGCAGATCGGTTAGATTGACAGCTTGAGGCTGGGATTCTATTCACAACTGCAAGGCGAGGGGACTGAGGCAAACCTCTGTGCATGACTTAACGCAGGTGGGAGCTTCTTCTCTTGCTGTTACATACAGTGTTTGCCTTCAGTATTGCTCATGGCAATGTCTGGGCAAATTAACTTTAGGCTGGTATTGGTCTCCACTACTGAGCTTTTCTTACCAAGTCCAGTTGGCTGAAAATATTAAATCATAAGGGCATGGAGGAAGAGGGGCTAAATGCAACCTGAAAGAGCGATGCGTTCTTTGTGATTGCCTGTGGGTGACCTCACGGCTGCTAATGGAGTATGAGGAGAGGTTACGGGCTCATGTCCTTGCAGTGCCATCTGGTGACAAATACTGGAATTATCACTGTAATAGAATAATTACATGACATAATAATAAATAAATATTAATAATAAATAATAAATAAACATGACAAGCCTACAATAATACCATCTCTCTAGTCCCAGATGGACAGCAAGACTTGGATTTTCTATTTTTAAACTTGGCGGGAAAGCTGCCTTTCTCTGTATTCTTTTCTTAACACTAGCAGAATTCAGCAACATTCTTTCATTGTTTTTACATGGATTGAAATGTACATGAATCACATTTATCAAAATCTGTACAACCTAACCTAATATGGTTAGTAGTCACCTAAATGCATGCCGTATTAAAAGATATTTTAATGGGAATGATGACCTGTATTTTGGAATTATTCATGTTTCAATAGTCAGTACTAGTGTTTGAAACAACATTGGTCTCAAGGAAACAAGGACTGAAAATATATGAAAATATATGTGTCTGTGAAAGTACTTGTCAGACAGACATATAGGTTTAACAAACGTTACGTGAGTTTTCCAAAGTTACTTTCTCCAATAATATAATCAATGCATGCAGTGCACTCCTTTTACAATATTTTTCAGCATATTGTCTTTACCTTTTCTGCAGAAGAGTGACAGAGAAGTACTAAGGCAAGCAGGAAGTTAGAGACTTAAGGAAGCATTTCCTGAATATATTCAGCCCTTAATTTACATCTAAACAATCATTTGGTATCCTGTCAGCATATGAGGCAGTAGAGCTTTAATTTGGCATACAGTAGAATATGGTAGATGGCCACTGGTCAGGGGTTTTGTTCTCTTTTACTCCAAATAATCTCTTGGTAGATGGCCACTGGTCAGGGGTTTTGTTCTCTTTTACTCCAAATAATCTCTTTTACAATTTGTAGCCCAAAATAAATTTCTTGTATTTGATTATTCAATTAAGCTAATGTATTCTGTAAATTTTCTTACATTATTCTTATTTGTTCACTGTATTTTTTCTTTTGGTTTTCCATTCAAATTGGGACATAAGGCTATTTCTCTGTGAATTGACTTACTCTTCCACAGTGCCAATGGGGCTGAAAATGTTCTGTAATCTGAACAGTGACTGTGATCTTAAAAGCTAAAAGATATTTCTCTGTGGACTTTATATTTGCTTTCCAGTTCCAGGATTGAATTTTGTATTTTTCAAGGGAAGAAATTTAAACTGAATTAGGAATGTGTGAACTCAATTTTTCAGGAGTTTATCTAATACTTTTACCTAAACCTCTTTGATTTCGCTCATATCTGTCAATCACTCTTACAGCTAGAGAAGAAATAGTATTTATAATCTTTGAACATTTTTTACAGGTCAAAATATTTTACCATCCTGAAAACTCAGTAACTTGAAAATTTTACCTAGAAAAAAATTAGGAAATTATGAAAAAATGAATTGGAATATTGTTTTGACACTTTTTTAAATAGTTAACTTTGATGATTTTTTTTTAATGGAATGTGGTTTGTCTGTAGTGTAGCACTCAAGAATTTAGGAACTGCCATATTAGAGAAACCTCAAGGCCTCTTATTAATTGTACTATTTTTTTGACAGATAGTTGATACCAAACGTTTAAGGGAAAAGTGTTGACCTGTCTAGGAAGGAAATGTAGGAAGAAGATGTACAGTTTAACTGTTAAATAAAATAAAATAGCAAGATATATAATCTCTAAATTGATACATTAAAATTGATACCAGAAAATTAAGTCTAATTTCACATTATGTAACAAGTCATTAAACTGTTTTTAACTTGCTAATAGTTGCTCTTCAGTACTTGTTAATTCAGGTGCATGTGTAAAATTATACCAGATTTTATATCAGATTTTAAACATTTTTACTTTTTTTTTTTTTCCTAAAAAACTCTTTGAATCTAGTTTTTGTGAGTATGGCCATGCCCAGCAGCACCACTGCTCTGTAGAGTCTCTGCTCCATTCTTTCACCTGACATTTCACCAGACTGTCCCTGTCTTGTTTCTTACTGGAGGGTTTTTTTTGAAACATTACTCTCCCGCTTATACAGCCACATGTAAATGGGATGGGGAAACTTATCCATCTGAAGGAATAAAGGGAGAGGGAGAAGAGGAGCAAGTGAAATGTTTAAGCAGGCATTGGTGGTTAATAAATGTGATATTACTGTTCCAGCCTCATCTCAAACAGTACCTGTTAGAGTTTTCCTGTTACTGGAGGGGAAGAAAGAAGCACTCCCTAAGGTACTAGCTCCTTCCGTGTCTGCAATTTGGAGGTATCCATCTTCATGAGCATGACAAAGAGTCTGTCCCTGTAAAAACCTCACCTAAGGCATTTCAGAATATCCTGCTACAGCTTAAAGTTTTTCTATTCCTATGACAGCTATCTTTCAGGTAAGTGTTGCCAGCTATCTGGTACAATGTTCATTAAAGTCGAGTTGAGCTGAAATTGTGGACTGGAGTAAATGAGACCTGAGCACATATTTCTTGCCCCCAACTCATCTTTAGATTAAGGTAAAGTTACTTTTTCAAGCAAATAGCTCAGCGACCAAGCAGGTAGTTGATGACTGTAACACACTGAATCATGATAGTAAAATAAACAATGAAATTTGAGCAAAAACTTTAAATATAGACCCACTTTTTTGCCTAAAGTTGTAGTCCAAAGTTGAGTGGTATAGTCCATTTTATCTCTTTTCAGACCAGAATAAAGAAGGCCACAGGCTCCCCAGTTAATCTCTCAAGCAAGATCCCATCCCAAAGTAAATGCAAGGGCAGTTTAGCTCATTCAGCAAACACAGTAAACTGCTGTACATGCCTGAAGATCAGGCAGCCTTGCAACGATAATGTGATCTCAGAGAAAACCTCTTGCACTTCAAAACAACTCTCCTGCAGCCAGCCAGCTTCTATCCTTGATGGAATCTCGTTTAAGCCACTTAGCAGGGAACTGCTCCCTTGACTGATTAGTTACAGGCTGGAATAAGTTGCTCCCACAGGTCCTGGTGGTGCTCCACACACTGTGACAGTTCCTGGGAGTCACTGGTTAAATCTGTAGCATAGCAAGATTGCTTTGCTGCGCAGCAATAAAGAAATCTGTTAGAAATTGTACTATCCCATAGAGAAATTTAAGACAACAGTACATCATATCTGGTTAGATAAGATACATATATCTTTTTGGTTTGGATTGTGGTGGTTTGTGTTTTGTTTTTTTTTCCCCTGGTATATTTTTTCCTAATATTAAGGACTGTAAAGGGAACTAAAGAAGGATTTCTGTTTGAATGTCAGACCAAAGGCAGATACTTGATGTGAACACATTTAACACAACATTTTGTGATGCAGCACAATTTATTTAAGTCAGTATTTTCCAAAGCAGGTGATAAAAGCTAGAGGCTAAAATCAGTAGAAGCATTAAGTATCTACTTCGTTCAAAAATAATGCCATTGTTTATACAGGTGTCTATAAGACATACAGCTTACAAAGTCTTGATCTTCATAGTATCTCTACACAAGTAAACAATGTTTACTTATTTCACATGAGTAATGTAATGTAATATGAATTAACTTTTAAGCACTCTGAATTCTCAAATGAAGCGAATTCTTAAAGTATAAATTCCCAAGATTACTAGTGTGTTATCACACACAGAATCCCAGTTGTCCTATGGCAGAAATGTGAGCAGGACAAATCCCCAAAGCAAGTGATGTTCATTAGATGTTCCAATTCTGAGAAAAATTGGGATACTGTGGTCATATTTTTTTTAATAAGACAAAGGACCAAATGTACTGCTTGTAGGAACAGGACTAGAAAGAAAAAAAAAAATTAAAAAAAAAAATAAACCCAACCTTAAAGCCAGATACCCATACAACAACTCTGCAAATCTGCTCACCTGATCACCTGGTGCTCACAGGGGCATCCTGCATGCAACCTCTTTTTCCATGTACAATATACAAAGAAGATCACAAGCAAACCCAGCTACCTAAAGTGTTTGCACAGTGGGACCCACGTTCTGAGCCTAGATAGGCTAGGGATGAATGCCTCTGTTAGTATATATGGGAAATGGCACAACATTTGAAAAAACTGTGATGATGCAGAAGCACCTGGAACTCAGGGTTCTGGAATGTCCTGTGCCCAGTTCCAACGGACACAATCAAACCTGAGATGATAAGGTCACAAAAAGTCATTAATTCAGCTTTTTGCAGATGAACTTACTTGGTGGATACTCAGTGGAGAACTGCAAGCAACCAGAACACTTGAGATACTTTTTCTCAAAATAGCCCAATCATGGCACACTATCCTGAGTATGATGAGTGCAGAACACAATGAGGAGAGCATCCTCAGACATGTGCACACGCTTTCTAAGACACGTCAGGTTTCAGTGAAGCCCTAAAATAGAGAGGCCAGTTTGATGGAAAGGGAGGAGAGAATAGACTGGCCAGGGTCCAAGTGAGAAGGGATCTTGAGCTATCTCTGAGCCTGTGTATAGAAAATGGGCCTGGTGAGAGAAGTTTGCTTATAATATCTCAATAACCTGATTACTTATATCTGAGCTCTCTGTGTCAAAATAAAATATTCTTTCTCAGTATTTCTCATGGCTAAAAAAAAAAAAATAATAACCTCCTTGTATTTATTTTTACTTTTGCTTTCTTATTTAATCAAATGGGATCTTTATATGATTTGGTCCTGAACTATGTCACCTAAATTTGGCTGGTGGTCACACTTGCACAAAGTACTACCATGCATTGCAGTGGACTGTAAATGGTTTTGCACTGGAAAGAATCTGAGCACAGGTAAAATTTGCCATACAGACAGCTGCAAAACTGAGTATGGGAAGTTGAGACCTGGAGTGCTGTTAATCAATTTTGAACTATCAAGGTGTATTATTTCAGGGACTAAAGTGATTAGCATTGATTATCTTTGGTTTGGTAACCAGTCGACTGATTAGAGAACAGATTTCCTGTTTTCAATTAAGAATAGAAAAAAAAATTATGAAGAGTATGTTTAAATTAAGAGAAGATAATGCAAAGGAGATTTTCTGTGATAGTAAGAGAAAAAGACCTGATATTAGGGACACACAAGCATTTGGTGAGTACAGCCATCACTTTATCACACTGAAGAATAGCAACCTTTCCAAGTTGCATTGTCATATGGGTAATATAAGGAAGCTACAGATACTTCAATAATCAATATATCAATAATAGGTCAATAATAGGAACAGAAAGGAAACTAACTGGAGAACAGTGACATCCAGCCCACTCATCAAGACAAACATGTCTAGAACACAGGTGATAGAAAACCAAATGCAACATATTCTGGCCTTACATGGAAAGAAAGAAGAAAGAAGATGCATGAGCAATGTGAGGAACTAGGATGTGCCAACATGCAGTGCAAGTGCACTGGCAGGATGAAAGTCTTCATTCAACAGCATGGCAACATCACCATCATTTTTTCATGCTTCTACTGTTTGTGGGAGATGCCTGAGACAGAGTGCTTGGATGATGGGGGGATGGCTGGTCAAAATACCAAAATACTCTGACAGCCGAAGCTATTATCTCTGGCATGGGTTGTACACTAGTGTCCTCCGCACCATTCACTTCAGTGAATGTTCCCATAAAAGACAGAAGGATGAACAGTGTTAAGAGGAAAAAATGCTTCAGTCAGCACAAAAATTTGCTGTATTTGAGAAAGCAGCAGATCGAGCTGTGAGAAGGAGCTGGGTTATGCAAACAGAAAGAGATCAAGCTGCACTTGCAGGAAGTGACCAGGTTGAAGTGGGAATTCCTTTCATGTGTGAAAAACACACTTTTTGTTATGTATATGGAAATTCTCTCTTTTATTCTCTCTTTTATTCTACATCCCTATAGCCTCATATCGTTGCATCTCTCTTATCTTAATCTCTCATCTTTTAGCAAATATGCTACCATAGGCTGCCTTTTAAAATACTTGTTTAGCACCAATAATCAAACTCCTGGCTTAATTACTTTATTTTCTGCTATAACTGGAGGCTTAGCAGAGGCAGTACATAAAGTCACCTGTGAGGAACCTAATGAATAATTGATCCCTTCCACAATGCCAGCATGTCCTGTTCTTCCTGAGAGCGCAGGCTGATTTGTTTTTTTCTGCCATTTTCCAGGTCTGTGCTGCTTCTCCTGATGAACTGAGCTCACCACCCTACCACAGGGGCAGACCCAGCCCATCCAAGGGTCACAAAACTGCCGAAATAGAGGCCTGGGGACAACAGTGGCTTCATTCCTTTTGATGACTATGAGAATTGGACGCTATTTTTAAAGAGAGTGCTGGTGCACTGTAGCTTTGCCCTCTGTGGAGGGCATTTTCACCTCTGGGAGTACTGGAAAATGGTCACTGATGGAGCACAGTCCCATATACGATGTTGGGAGAATACAGTACGGGAGGTCCCAGTGGTTCTCAACAGTGAAAAATGATCCACTTTGATTCCATATTAGGACAAAAGTTAAGGTTTAATGCTACACATGGTATAGATAACTTCCAACATAATCAGTTTTAACTTGTTGGCTAAGTAATTGATTTACACAATCCTGTAACTGATTTGTACTCAAGAAGAGAACATTTAAATACTCAGAATTATATTATCTTTTTGATACATGTAGTAAAGAGGTTCAGTCTACACTGATCCATCTGTGGATGGATCACTGTTCACACATGGAAATGTCAGGGCTGAGAAAGGTCCCCCAAGACAGAATCCCTTCTGCCAACAGGACTGAACATCACTTACCTTAATGGCTACTTGGCCAGGATCCGCTCAGGTATATTTAGTCTTACAAGACACTTATCCAATGGGAAATACATTTGAAAGACAATAATAATGTCATTTTACTCCTTCTTTTTCAATTTATTCTTTCTTCAGAGTCACATTCACCTCATCTTCAACAGAGGTGTTATACTCATCCCTGCCCATCCTGTTGCCTTGTGATACCTGGTATCTCAGTAGCTGTGAGTATGTTGCTCTGAAAAATTGGTGGTGGACGTGGCACATAATACTGGCTAGAAATTGATACTGTTGAAGAAGACAGCAGTTGCCAGAATGTGGGCTGAAAAATGCTGGGTTTAATTTAAAACTTTATTGCCAGATTTCACACTTTATACTTAGCAAAACTGTTTCTTGCCAAGTTAACTTTCAGAAGACCATACTGTGCAGAATGGGTGAAAAATACACATAAATCTGTGAACACAGACTGCAGTCCATCCAGACAGTGTGAATGTTTAACCTACAGAAGAGTTGCCTGTGAGAAGCACTGTGTTTACTGTTATAAAACATTCTTTGTGTATTTCAGAATCACTCCAGGGAAGCCTATCCCAGCATCGTCAGATGCAAATGGTTTTGAGAGTGTGATAAAAGTTTTGGTTATTCAAGAATTAAAAATATATATTCCATATTATGGTATGAATCTGCTAATTCTTCCAACATATGTTTGAGGATCAGGGGAATAAATAGTACAGAGAGGAAAACCAAGCACATTGCAGCAGTGTGGAAAAGGCTTATATTATACAAAGAAATACAGTAAGGCCATCAAAGACAACTCTTATTCTTTCTCTAAACTTGTGGAAAGCAATAGAAACTTGCTCTCCAGGGTAGCTTAAATGAATGGGTGAATGGCATATAGAGATCAAGCTTGAATGAAGTCTCAGTAAAAAATTGCCTTCAAAGATTACAGAAGCCTTCTTGATATGCAAAGTTATTTGATGTAGAATGACAGGAATTACATTAAAAAGTGGTTTGGAGATCATCATTACACAGTCAGCTAGTTATGCTGCACAGTAAAGTAATGATGAAGGAAGAACATTCATCAGCCTGTTTTTTCTTGGAGACTGGAGCTGCTGTTGTTTTTGTGGGAGTGTGTGTCCTGCCTTTGCATTTGTCCCGGTTCAGCTGGTTTAAAGATCTGTATGGAACCAGTCACAAAACTACCTATCTACCTACAAAGATACCATGGTAAATGTACCTAGTATCCCAAATACCAGGTGTTGCAGACAATGTATTTTTTAAAGTTATACATTTCTTTTTAGTTACACGATTACAGATCTATTTCTACTCACCTTCCAGATACTGACTGGGAGTGACTTTAAAGTAAAACTGTGGCTACTTACCTGACTTTTAAGTGGCAAAATATTGCATCTTCATTTACTCAGCTGAAGCTGGGGCATGTCTCCTATTTTCGTGATTATTTCACTAGAATACACTGTTTTTTACTGTAGTTAAATATGCAATCTAATTGGTTCAATCTTACCAATGGAAACTGTACTGCTACTGTTGCATAACTGTTGTCAGAACAATTAAGGTTTCATCAAAATTCCCTGTATTTTTTATTTTAGTTAATTTGTCTGACTCGAAAAGTTGGGCAGACTAGTTCTGAATTCCAGATGATGGAGAAACAACCCTAATGTTGTGCAGCACTGACATATGGTTTAAAATTGCTTCAACACAAAATATTCAAGTTATAAAGCCACAATAGTGTGAGAGACAAATACCTTGTAGTATCTTGATCCACTAGTTCAGAAGGATCTATTTCTGTCTTATCTTCTACCCTTAAAAGTCCTGGGAAAAATAGTGAAAGGGATGTTTTACCTAAACAGAGCTGTAACTAAGTAAAATTATATGTAATTATAATGAGTGCAATAAGTGTACTGATCATTCATTGGAGTGTTTCCCTTGACCAGGAGAAGCCTCTGACCTGGTTCCAAATTTGTGCATAGTGGATCACCTTCCAGTTCAGATTTATATAGAGCAAGCATGAACAAAGCACTGCATTTCCATCACACTACCATAGCATTTGATACAGTCTCTTTTATAAAGGCTGTAATTTTTCATACTGTCTATAGGAAGCCAAAGTATTCTTGATTCAGCAAGAAGTCAAAAGTAGCCTGATAATAGCTGATCCAATATCAAATTCTCCAGGACTGCCTTCACATTTTTTATACATTTGATATTTCGGAGTAGGTTTTGTGAGCTCAGGACTTTGCATCACCTGGCCTCAATGTTTGTGATGCAATACTTTAGTCCTCAGAGTGGAGAATGACAGCAAGGTACCACAAGAATGACAAGGCTGTGCTAATGATGAAGATGGACCACCTCCTGTCTAGGGTGACTGGGAAGAAGAGAGCAAGGCTGCCTGAAGATAACTAAAGATTAATTACATTGATAAAAATTACACCCCTGAGAAGAACCTGACATGCTAATATCAGATTGCCTCTATGTAGTGAATAGCTGGCACATGTGTAGAAATGCATTAGTCAAGATCAAGTTTTGTGCAGGGTTTTTTTTGCTGTCACTTGTACAGAAGTTTGCAAACTCTCCAGAGAGAGGTGCTAACTTCAGGAAGCCAAGCACCTCTTTCTGTGCAGAATGTCTTTAAAGGTCAGAAGTTGTGTCTGCTCTCTACCTCCACTGACAATCAAGCAGAGGACACATGTCTTCAGTAATTACCTATTGTATTTAATTTGCATGGTGTGGTTTGGTTTGGTTTTAACTAAAGCACCTGAGTAACAGTTCCAGCTGCACCATATAAAGTCTGAGAAAGATTAAAGAAAACCAGAATGCTTCTGAGATAGTGCACTGTGAAAATTACTTAAATAGGGACAGTTTCAAGTAAAATTTCCTTCTCATAATAGAATATGGTATATAGAAAGTTCATTATGTAATCTCAGGGTGCAAGAGAAGTTTTCGGTGTGTGGTAACTGATTGTATACTTGCCCTATAGCTCCTTAAAAACTGCTGGTTTTCTAATGGACATTTCAATTAGTATCTTCTATCCATATTTATTTTTCTAAATGCATAGTTTGCTTTTATTGGCAACAATAATTAAGAGCTACCAGTAAGCTCATTAGGAACTATCAGGTGTCACATTTGAAAATCAGTTGATTATTCAATATCTATCTTAGAATCTCATTCTTAGCTTAAGACCATGATAGAAAACCTACCTGATCTGAATAATGCATTTCAGAGTTTTTCTGGGACATTGAGAGCTAACTTTATCTAGGGTAGGATTAAAACATAGATATTATATCCTAGTGCCTGCTGTATAACTCCTGCAAAAATCTTCTTTAAAAAACCCTCTGAGTTGTATTTAAAACTTAAAAAGCTAATTTCCAGTCATGTGTTTCTGTAGGAAACACTGCAATCATAAATTAGGTGTGACTGTCTGAAGGTGTGTAATCTCTAAACCTAAACAAGAAGTGTGAGCAGTGAGAGGAAACAGCCACTTAGTGAAAGAACTACGTGAACAAAAGGATTTACAGATGATTTCTTCCAGACTAAGGCACATGAATAGCTCAGCTACAAAGGAGTACTATCTATGCATACCTCTTCCTGCTCTTGCTTCTGCTCTGAAGGGAGATGAGGATTCCTGTAGTCACTTCATTGTTTCTGAGCAGAGTCATCCCCTGAGGCGCGTCTGGGAGTAGATAACAGAGGGCGCCCAGGCACGTGTGTGATTCTTGGGCGTGACCTGTTGGGGCCAGCAGTTAGACTTCAATGATCCTTGAGTGTTCCTTCCAATTCAGGATACTCGAGGATTCTCCTTGCCAGGACAGTGGAGAAGGCAGGTCCTGCCACCGCTACTCCAGTAGAGAACCCACAGCGGAACGGGAGTCCCCTGTCATGATATACCTCAGTCCATAGACTTCTTCAAGGGCTAGGAGATGGCGCCACACAAATTTATGCATGGTGCACTGGGATTAGTCAGAAAGGTCTTTTAACCTGAGAATTTGCTAACCCCCACTATAGCATTAGAAGGATTGGGGAATCCTCTGAATCTTTGCTGGATAAAAATTTACAGGATGATGAGGATATCTTAAATTAAACAGAACCCCTGACAGTTCATGTTTATGTAAGCAGTCGTGAGCCTTCAGTCTTCACCTGATATTTAGAAGATGAACACCCCCTTTTTTAAATTCTCCACCTAAATACAACTATGTCTAAAGACCTTTAAATCCTAATCCATTATTCAAATGCTCATAAAATCGGAGCAACAGATTGTATTACTTTTCAGGGAACTAGAATGGTGTAAAACCTGTTGTTAAATGACATAGACAATGAAATAAGCAAAGACTTATCTTTGCTATGAGCTGCAGATGGTAGAAGGGCATCTTATACTGAAGATCTCTGGACAAAGAATTAAAGAAGTATGGGTGTTACCACTGTGGGAACCTATCACAGACCAGCAAACCAGAAGTTGTAACTAATTGTGGTCATGTAGACAGATGGTTAAGAGCAACTATTTGATAATGATGTAGATTATTAATTAGGCTTTTTATTTGCTGGGAAAAGAACACAATGGGACACAGACTGTCCAGACAGTGAAAAACTGTTGATGCAGGAGGAGAAAGAACCTTGAAGGAATATCCTACAGGATACTTTTCACCAACTGAGGATCTGGTTGAAAATATGAAGTTAGGAGAACACCTTGGAAGAAGAAAATAGAAAATATGAATTCCAGACTTTTGGGAAGTAAAAGTAGGCAGAAATTAGGGCATGATACCAGTTCCTCAATAATGTATGTACACAAATGCAAACTGTTTCATTGTGTAGGAAAGACAGTAAATGTACAAAGAGACCAACCTGGTTAAACCATGAGTTCCTCTTAAACAGCAAGGGAACACAGAGAAAGTGCAAAATAGGCCAAATTACCAGAAATTAAAATATAATAGCATAAAGGTAGAAAAATCAGAGAGGCCAAGACTCACAAAAAATATTTAAATACATTAGCAATACCATGCTAAGAAAATAATTGGCCCACTGAACAATACGTAAGAAAGTTATTAACAGATCTGATAGTTTAATGCCTTTTTTTTTTGTTTCTTGCATCAGGTTCTACCATCAAGGTTAGTTGCAATCAGATGGTAACACAAGACCTATTGCTAAAGGTGTAAGTATTCAGCCAAGAATAAGCATGAGCAGACTAGAAAATACTTTGGATTGTATGTAATTGTATGTAATATAAATTGTGTTTGAACTCTCAAACTGTCTAAGCCTAAGAAATCTCTGTCTAGGATGTGGGTGAAGTAGTTAGCAGCTAGCTTTGACAAATTCTAAAAAGTACTGAGAGATTAGAAAAGGGAAAACATTTAAAATGGGGAAAGATAAATAATAAAATTATAAACCAATCAGTCTTTTCCTGTAAGAACACTGGAACAAATGACTTGTAAGAATCAGAAAGAACAAAAGTTTTGGCTAGCATAAAACAAATCATAGCAAGCTAGTTAAATTGTTTTCTGTGTCATATTAATTGGTTTTACAGATGGAGAACTGGTTGATGTTTTGTATACTGACTTAAGTAATGGGTTTGATATTCCTGTATGTGAGAGCCTGATAAATAACCTGGAGAAAGATGACCTGGATGAAACTACTATAATGCAAATCTGCACTGATAGAGTTTTTATTAACTGTTTGGATAGTGTATTAACTGGAGTCCTGCAAGGACAGGATTCAGTATTCTTCCCTATTTCAAAAGGTATCTGAGTAGTTAAATAGAAACCTCAACTTTGCACAAATATGGGAGAGATTTTAGTTGTGTTTAGTCAGGATTAGTATTCAAAAAAGTAAATCAGAGAAATCATCTGAAGGAAAAAAAAAATTAAATTCAACAGAGAAAAGATGCTACCTTCAGGCAAAAATAATCAAATATAGAATGGAGAACAATAAAGTGCTCAGGTGACTGTTCTGCAAAGAAGGATATGAGGCTCCTTTGGAGTGGATGGACAGTAGTACAGTCTGCTCGACAAAGGAAATAGACACACATTATATGGCTCTGAAGGCTCATCTAAGGCAATGCCATGTCCAGTTTGTGGCTCTGAGCAAGGTCCTGTATCAACTAGCAAGAGTCCAGAGAAAACCAAAAGAATTACTTGAGCTGTAGAGAGTAGAGACTGGAAGAAATTAGGAATATAGTCTGTTTTTATTTGTTCTGAAAAAGGAAGAAATATTCAAATTAGATGTTAGAAAAAACTTTTGAATGTTGAAGGTGTTGAAATGTTGGAATAAAACTAAAAGGCTGTAGAGGTCGTTTAAAACCAAGCTAACTAAAGTTTTAAAGAGCAGGTGGGGAATGATAAAGATAGAATTCATTTTGCATTTGGCCAAAGCAATGGGCTACATGACCTTGAGAGATCTCTTTCAGCCTTAACATCCCACGTCTTCTTCACAACCTAAATAGTTATATGAGATTTCAGCTTAGTGAAGCAGAGGATGGGATCATTTTCTGTTCTAATTACTCCACCTTTCCAAATGCTTCCAAATTTTACTTTTTTTTTTTTTTTTTTGTAACATGAAAGCTCTGATGTTTTCAGTTGTAACTATTCAGTCATAATATTTATTCAGTATCCTGTACATTAAGGATTAGGAAATCCTGTTGAGGTCTTAATTTAAGTCCTACAAAGGATAGTGCCAGAGTGCCTTTCTACAGACAGAAGATTATTGTGTTGTGGTAACTAGCTTGAGCTAGCTAGCTTAATACCATGCAGGAATGGAGCACAGATTGCTTTCTCAAATGGCTGAATGAATCATTTCACTAATTCATTCATGGCAGGAGAGTGAGAGGCTGATGTGTCACTTTGATACCATTTCCTCAAAAAGCAGCTGGAACTATTCGTATGTGAACTGAGCCATTGTAACTTATTGTCTGCTCAGGGAATTTTTCTTCGAGGGCCTTATTACTTCCACAATTTACAGTTCATTACATAGAATATTTAAAGAATATTTTAGACCTTTTGCACCTAAATATACAGCACAGTAGTTGAAATGGAATTAGTTATTAATTCTCTGATCAGTATCTGAAGAGTGCCAGAATATTTGTCTGATGTTCTAAACAGAGCTGGCACACTGTCACATGCTGACCCCTTCTGATCACTCAGTGTGCACAGACTTCTGCAGGGTAATTAGCCATTCCCAAAGGTGTCAGATAGTTTCTTTTACATTTATTGTTGATGTCATTCTCCTTGATTTTATAATTTATATTTGCAGAAGATACTACACTACTTCTATAATGACTGTCATTTTTACTACTCACAGTGCTAAGTTTGCCAGGAATAACTAATTGTTCTGGTACTTCACACTATCTCTGGTACATTCTAAACTGTAATTTTAAACAAATAATGATGGAGTAAGTTGTTCACGTAAGCAAGTCCTTTTTCTCAATATAATAACATCATAGCCAGCACTATCACACTTTTGATTTCATGTTGCATCCCTTTGTTTCCACGGGATTCCGTTTGTGCCATACACAACAGATGAGACACTTCTAGCTGTGTATCTTGGTAATCTCACCTACCCTGAGTGATACAAATAGTAGTGAGAAGTCCACTACTTTGCTGGTCATTACTTTTTATCTCTTTTTCATCAAGTCTTTGAAAACATTTGTTTCTCTAATGGGAAACTTGCCATTCCAGGTATCCCTTTTTCAATTACAAGGAAGAGTAGAAAGTCCGTGTTGAACCCCACCCAGCTTCCCACCCAGTCTCAGATTCGCACCCTGCTGAGGTGCACTCTTTCTGTCACACAGTGGATAAGAGTCCATGTGGATGCAGCTGTTACTCAACAAAGGAGCTGTCTCCAATACTGAACATTAAAATTTGTAGATGATACCTCTGGTGAAGTAAGTTGCTTTCCATACCCATACTGGTGACACTTTTCCAGTTCTCAGAACATCTTATCAATGTAAAAATGGTTGTGTTCTACATAGGTAAAGAGTTAAAAATATAAAAGCATTCAATATCATCCTCAGTTATTTAAAAATATTACTTTTCTTGTCTCCTCTTCTAGAGGAGGATGACAAGTTATTTGCAAGCAGGTACTATGATGTTAAAGGATCATTTCAGATTACAAAAATGTAATGACAACCGAAAACTTTGGTCTGCTGAGACCAGCTCACTTCTTCCTTACTGTTTAACGTTTCATTTGCTCCAATGACTAAAATTCTTAGAAACAAACTTCAGCAAATCATACTACGTAGTCAAAACCTCTAAAACCAGCTTTTCATTATGGAATTAACCTTTTAAGTGATATTCACAGAATCACAAAATAGGTAAGGTTGAAAGGGACTACAATGGGTCAATTGGTGCAACCTCTGTGCTCAATCAGGTTAATCCTAGAGCACATAGCAGAGAATTGTTCTTGAATATCAGTCTCAGTGAGAGAGACTCCACAACCACTCTGGGCAATCTGTTACAGGGCTTGGTCACCTGCACAGTAAAAAAGTTCTTCCTTATATTCAAGTGGAAGTATTGCCACAAGTCCACAGTAGAATTTCTACTTTGTTCGGTTTTCAGCTCTTTACTCTGTTCCCTGTAAAACCATGCTCAGCTGCAAAATACATTGTGGAGCTGAGAGGTGTTATTCACTTGTGCCACTGAGAAATCCAAGTCACATCGATATGTTAAGGCTCACATCCTATTGTGTCCTCCAGTGAGATTGCTCTGGGAGTCATTTCCTGGGCTGA